GGAAAGTTTGCAGAGGAAATTGATCTTCCACTCACCTGTTCATATGCCTTGTTTCCAGACATTGATTGCAATCCCCACAATGTAACAGCTCTCTTCCCACTTCCCCCAGTGGTTACAATTTCCATTGTTCTTTCCTGTCACTTCCGGCCTTCTGAGCTTTGTCCCTGGGCACATGCTGCCCTTTTGGTCTCTGTGGTTGATTGTTCTAAGGAGGGCATACCTCCCTGTGTTAGGTTTACTTCACAGGCCTGTCTACTGTTTGGCTGTAAGTTGAGCCTAAGGGTGAATTCAGTTCTAGGCTTGAAGGGTGTCTAAGGACCATAGTCTCGGGGTTCCACCATCTCTAGCAGACCAGTAAGCCTAGTCTTCGTTGTTTGATGTCTTGACTGCTGCTTCTATGGGCATTGATTGTGGATCCAAGGAAAATGAAATCCCTGACACCTTCATTCTTTTCTCCATTTATAGTGATGCTGCTTATTGGTCGAGTTGTGAGGATTTTTGTTTTCTGTATATTGAGGTATGAGCCACACTGCAGACTGTAGTCTTTAATCTTCATCAGTAGGTGCTTCAAGTCATCTTCACTTTCAGCAAGCAAGGTTGTGTCATCTGCGTATCGCAGATAGTTAATGAGTCTTCCTTCAATCCTGATGCCGAGTTCTTCACATCGTCCAGGTTCTCGGGTTATTTGCTCAGCCTACAGATTGAACCATCAACCTTTCAGTTAGCAGTCAGATGCCTGGCACTGTGCCATCAGAGCTCCTCACAGAGTGAGTAAGTATCGTGAAAGAATACGACCCTGACATACACCTTTCCGGATTTTAAACCATGCTGCCATATCCCCTTGTTTGGTGCCAGTGACTGTCTTGGCCTATGTACAGGTTCCACAAGAGCACATCAAGTGTTCTGGAATTTCCACTCTTAACCATAATGTTATCCGTAATTTGTTATGATCCACAAAGTCGAATGCCTCTGCATAATCAAACAGCTCTCTGATATTCTTTGCTTTCAGCCAAGATGCATCTGACATCAGCAATGATAACCATCGTTCCATGTCTTCTTCGGAATCCAGCTTGAATTTCCAGCAGTTCCATGTGCTGCTGCAACCATTTTTGAATTATCTTCAGCCAAACTTTGTGTGTGATATTAATGAGGTTATTTAATTTCTGCGTTCTCTTGGACCACCTTTCTTTGGAACGGGCACAAATACGGATCTCATCCAGTTGGTTGTCTTCCACATTTCTTTGCACAGACAACTGACTGCTTCTAGTGTGGCATCCATTCGTTGAAACATCTCAACTGGTGTTCCATCAATCCCTGAAACCTTGTTTTTCGCCATTGCCTTCAGTGCAGCATGGACTTCTGTCAAGACCATTGATTTTTCTTCAGTTCTTTCCGTTTGAGAAATGCCAAGTGTGTTCTTCCCTTTTGGTTTTCTGACTCAAAGTCTTTGCACATTTCATTATAATATTTTACTTTGTCTTCTTTAGTGACCCTTTGGAATCTTCTTTTTCGCTCTTTTACTTTATAATTTCTTCCATTTGCTTTAGGTACTCTTCATTCAAGAGCAAGTTTCAGAGTCTTTTCTGACATCCATTTCAGTCTTTCTTTCCTGCCTTTTGAATGACCTTTGGCTTTCTCCATGTATGATCTTGATGTCACCCTACAACTCATCTGGTCTCCAGTCACTGGTGTTCAGTGAGTCAAATTTGTTCTTTAGATGGTCTCTACATTCAGGTGGGATATAATCAAAGTCATGCTTTGGCTCTTGTGGACTTGTTTTCTTCTCTTCAGCTTCACCTTGATCTTGTACGTGAGCAATTGATGATGTGTTCTGCAGTCAGGCCCTGACCTTGTTCTGACTGAAGATGCTGAGTTTCTCCATCATCTGTTTCCACAGAGGTAGTTGATTGGATGATTTCTGTTTATTCCATCTGGTGAGGTCCACTTACATAGTTGTCATTTATGTTATTGGAAAAAACAGGGCTTCAAACTGGCTTATTCCCGTTCTGTCCCTGGCTGAGAATTTGCATGTCCACGCCCGATATACTCAGTTAAAATCTATGGTTAGCAAGATTCCCAGGTGATTTTTATAGATATCTGAGTGATTCTCATGATACGTAAGAAATTTGTTAAAATACAGATTCTGTTTCAGTCTATCTGGGGGGGAATGCAAATTATCAGGAAAGGGTAGAGTCATAATGAACTGGCCCAAAGCCCTGGGATAAAGTGTTTCTAATGAATAGATCTTTAACAACAACAACAATAATAATAAACCCTCTGCCATTGAGTCAGCTCCAACTTAGAACACCCCTAGAGGACAAAGAACTCCCCATAGGGTTTGCAAGGCTGTAGGTTTTTATGGAAGCAGACTGCCTCATATGTCTCCCACGGATGGTGGGTTTGAACTGCCAACCTTTTCGGTGGCAGCCAAGCACTTAACCACCACACCACCAGTGTTTCTGGATAAGTTCTTGGTCTTGCAAAATTTTATTATGTAATCTCCAGCATTGTTTCTATCCCCAAGGCTGTATTTTCCAACTATTGATCCCTCTTTGTTTCTGATTTTTGCAGTCAAATCACCACTAATTATCAGTGCATCTTGATTGCGTGTTTGATTAATTTCAGACTGCAGAAATTGGTAAAAGTGTTCAGTTTCTTCATCTTTGACATGAGTGGTTGGTGAATAAATTTGAATACAGGCAGTCCTGACAAGAATAAAGGTCCCTAAAGCTCTGGTAGCATAGTGCCTAAGGCATTTGACTGCTAACCAGAAGGTGGGCAGTTCAAACCCACCAGTCACTCCCCGGAAGGAAGGTGGGGCAATCTACTTCCTAGTGATACTGCCTCGGAAACCCAAGGAGGGGTCGCTATGGGTCGGTGCGTTTTGTTTTGTCAACGTGGACTGCATCCACGTCATTAAGGTAGGCTCTACCCAGGGGAAGGACCTCTTCCCTGGTGGTACTTTGAGTGCTTTCCACCCTGAGGGGCTCACTTCCCCGCGCTCCATCAGTGTTCCCTGCTAGTCATAAGGCCTCACCGGGCAACTTTTTGAGAAGTGGATTACCAGGCCTTTCTTCCGAGTCTGTCCTAGTCTGGAAGCTCTGCCGAAGCCCGTCGACAGTGGTGACCCTGCTGGTGTCTGAAACACCGGTGGCATTGCTTCCGGCATCACGGCCACACTCAAGCCACCACAGTAGGACAGACTGACAGACGCGTGTGGGGAGCCCGAGGGCACTGAACTCAAGGACCTGATGTAGCTTCAGGAATTAGGCAACTGAAGGTATAGACAGTGGGCCCAGCCCCTTCCATTAAATAGCTCTTAGGTGCCTGGCCTAAGAAGCCCTGGTGGGGCAGTGGTTAAGTTCTCAGCTGCTAACTGAAAGGTCAGCAAACCCTTCAACGGCTCCACAAGAGCAGAGACCAGGTGACCTGCTCCCATAAAGATGACCGCCCAGGAAACCCTATGGGGATTTCTGCGCTGGGTGGGAATGGCCTCCGTAAAAACCAAACCAAACTCACTGCTTTTGAGTCAGACCTGATTCATAGCCACCCTTCCTTGGGTTTCCGAGGCAGTATCTCTACGGAAGTAGATTGTTCAGTCTTCCTTCTGAGCAGTGGCTGGTGGGTTTGAACCGCCAGCGTTCTAGCACGCAGCAAAAATAGGTGCCTGGCCTGGAAGGGGTGGGGAATATCTGAGATCAGGGAAGACTTCCTGGAGGAGGTGATGGTTTCACTGGGCCCCAAAGGATGTGTAGGAGTTTCATTCTTTAGCAAGGGTTGACTGGGTTTGAGAATTGTTTTACAGGCTCCCTGGGAACCACGTGGCCAAAGGGCTGAGCTGTGTGGCGTGACTGGAGGCTCCTGCCCTCCTCTAGTGAACTCCACTGGTAAGTAGGTCACAGCCATGACCTTTTCCAGAAGCTATGAGGGAATCCAGAGACCCGGCTCTGATCCTGACCAGTCTCGAGTTCTCGGGCAGCTCACCATCCCTGCTCCAGGCCACAGTTTTCCATGGATGTGGGGGACAGGTGGATTAAGTGCTGTTTATGATCCTTGGGGCACTGACAGTCAGTGGTTACAGTTGGTCCAATTGAGCCCTGTGTCGAAGCCACGCCTGTTTACAGAGCAGCTCCCTGTCCAAGGCCACATTGTAGAGGAATGAGGCTGGTTCACCCCACCCCGCCCCACCCCACCCACACCCAGACCTGAAGGCTGCAGCTTCTTCCCTGGAAGATGTTTGCATTTTGGGACTTTCATTTACTGATGGGGCAGGACTTAAAATGAGGAGAAACAGGACAAACACCCTTACTAACTGTGCTATCTGCACTTGAGGGACCAGCAGGGACCCGGGAGGTTTGGCCTCAGGGTTGGGGCCGAGGGCCGCCAATTAGGGGATGGTTTAAGTGCAGCCATTTTGTGAGTTTGGGGTTCCCTGTCAGTCCAGCAGAGGCCCACTGCTTTGCATTTTCAAAAGGCTGGCCACATCTCCCAGCCTGGTACAACCCCACTGGCCCTTTCTCTGAGTCCTCTATGTCCCCATGACAACCCTCTGTGGGACGAGGCAGGAGAGACCAGCCCACTGCAGAGACGAAGACGCTGAGACCGCAGGTCAGACAGCCAGGGAGCCGGGCCAGGCTCTCCACAGCCTGCTTTTCCCTCCAGGGGTGCAGGAGCTGCCTCCTGGGATCCGTGGCCGCCTCGCTCACCTCCCGCTTCTTCCGGGCCTTGCCCTGCAGGGGCCATGAAGCTCAACGAGAGGAGCGTGGCCCACTACGCGCTGAGCGACTCCCCCGCGGACCACACAGGCTTCCTGCGCACGTGGTGGGGCTCAGGGACCGCCCCCGGCCCCAGCGGCGCTGGCCGAAGATGCTGGTTCGTCCTCAAGGGCAACCTGCTGTTCTCCTTCGAGAGTCGCGAGGGCCGGGCCCCGCTGAGCCTGGCGGTGCTGGAGGGCTGCACGGTGGAGCTGGCCGAGGCGCCGGTACCCGAGGAGTTTGCCTTCGCCATCCGCTTCAGCGCTCCCGGGGTGCGGCCATACTTGCTGGCCGCGGACGGGCCGGCGGCCCAGGAGGCCTGGGTGAAGGCGCTGTCGCGAGCCAGCTTTGGCTACATGCGCCTGGTGGTACGGGAGCTGGAGGCCCAGTTGCGTGAGGCCCGCAAGAGCCTGGCCTCGCATCGCCGATCATCCTGCAGGGCCGCGGCCAGCCGTTGTAAACCCCCGGCTCCCGACCACTGCTCTCCAGCCCTGGAGAACGGCCACTCCCCCTGCAAGGACCGCAGCCCCGGAAGCACGGCTGAGGAAGGGGGCAGCAGGCCGTCGGGGTGGGCCTCGTTGGAGTGGGAGGTGCAGGGCTCTGCCAGCCTCCTGCTCGGCAGGGGACAGAGCCCCGTGTCCCCCGAGACCTCCTGCTTCTCCACCCTGCACGACTGGTATGGGCAGGAGATCTTGGAGCTGAGGCAGGGGTGGCTGAAGAGGGCTCGGGTTGGCCGGGCAGGATGGGAACAAAAGGACCGACCCTGACCCAGCCCGGGCCCTTCTGGGTCTGCCCAGCCTGCTGGTCGGGACACCTGGGCTTTTTCAGTTGAAGGTTTACTCTTTTGCAAGGTTGCTTTTGGGGGTTTCTCTCCTCCCCTCATTTTAGGTCTCCAGGCTCCAGATCCACACCTGTCACTGGAGGGGCTCAGGAATCATTACTCCCAGCTTCTTTAGTTCCTGAGACTCAGAGAGGAAAGGCGGTCTTCTGACTCCTGGGGGCCTGCCTATCAGAGTATCAATGACTTGGAGGAAGTGGGAGATGCCACCCGCCTTTCACCTACACACCAAACTCTCCAGCCACAGTTTCCACTGTGGGGAGTCTTGTGTGCATTTGAATACAGGCAGACCTGGCCTTATTGCGCTTTGCAAATACTGCGTTTTTTACAAGTTGAAGGTTTGTGGCAACCGTTTGTCAAGCTAGTCTATCGGTGCCATTTTTCCCAAGAGCATGTGCTCACTTTGTGTCTCTGTACCATGTTTTGGTAATTTTCACAATAGTTCAAACTTCTTCATAAGGCTGTTGCACACTTAAGATACTAGAAAGTATAATGTAAGCATAAGTTTTATATGCACTGGGAAACCAAAATATTCACACGACGTGCTTTATTACAATCATCTCTTTGTTGCGGCCGTCTGGAACCAAACCCGCAATATCTCCGAGGCGTGCCTGTATCAGAGGCTGGCTGCAGTCTTGGCTTGAGGGACTGCCCTTGCCAGAGAAAGTGGGTTTATGATGTCATGAGGTTTTCTGGGGCCCTGCTCTTCCTGAGAATGGTGCGTAGATCGGGCCTGGGGCACCCATTCTGCAGTGTGGGTAAGGCCTTTCAGAGGGAGAAGGCCTTCAGCCGGCCAGGCATTTAATCTGCTCAGAGTGGTGGGGCCCCCTCCTCACTCTGGCCGCCCTGTCAACAGAAGGTGCTGGAAGCTGCCCTGGAGGGGCTGTCAGCCGAAACCTCTGCTGTACTCCGTCCTCAGCAGCCAGCTCTCGGAAGTGCAGGTGCCAAGTGGGAAGTGAGAGGAGGTGAGCAGGCAGTGTGGCTTCCCATTTGTGGCCTCAGTTCTCCGTCCTGGGCATCCTAGGAGATCGGACACAGTATTCCATGCTCTCTGCTCAACTCTTCTTTCCCGACTGAGCTCCTGGGCTTTGAAAGAGGTGTGTTCCTGCTTTGTAAAGCAACAGTGAAACCACCGAGGAACTCCTTCATGGTCCTGCTTGTCACCCCAGGGCCAAGACTTTTGGTTCCCTCTCATTAGGAGTGGGCCAAGCATTTCCTCCTTTGGTTGTTTTGTTCTGGGAAGCATAGGGACTGGGCCCATAGAGCCAGAGGCCAGACCAGCCCGCTGCCCTAGGGGGATGGCAGTGGCTGGTCAGACACCCCTCCCCAGACAATGTGTCCCCTTACAAGCCTCTCTCTTCCTGGTGGCCTTGGGCAGCCTGACTTAGACCCAAGTAGGCCTAGAGGCTGAGGCTCAGCACCTTATCTCCAGGATCCAGGACCCGTCCCCGCCCAGCTGGTTTCCCAGGAAGAGGGTCCACCTCTAGCTGGCCCTGAAGCCTCTCAGTGCGCTGCTCCAAGTTTTAGAAGCCACAGGCCTTTATCTTTGCTGTTGTTACAGTGCCTTTTATACGATTAAAACACTAAATAAAGTATTTTTCATCATTATTCACATCAGTTCCTTAAGTTCATTTCAACAATCACCTTCTGAAGCCTGCTTTGCCAAGCCTTGATAGCCCAGGCGCGGAAACAAGCGCAGAAATCAGACAACCTCACCCGCAAGAGCTCACTCTGACGGCCCCGCCCACCAGAACCCAGGATGGGGGCGGGGCTGGGGCACCGGCGTCCTCCTCTGACGTCACCACTCCGGGCGGCTGCCTTTTTCCCACCGCAATAGGAGTTAGGTCCACTGCGCATGTGTGAGGGCTGGAATTCTCATCGTGTCCCAAGAACCTCGCGAGACTTGTGGGTCACTGTTCCGCCCGAGGGCGTCACCGGAGCAATCAGTGGGGTCTGGGTGCCGGGGCTAGGGGCGGAGCTGAGGGATGGCATCCAGAGCGGCTCGCTGCCTGGTTTTGGACACCGTCCGATCCGGGGCTCTCTGGGGCAGGCCGAGCTTGAGGACAGGTGGTGATGTCTCTGCCATACGAAGCAGCTCAGGTCGAAGCCTGAGGTCAGTCATCGTTACCCGCAGCGGCGCCATTTTGCCCAAACCAGTGAAAGTGAGTTTCTGTCTGAGGGCGGGGCAAAGGGGCCAAGGTTTGTGGTCGTCGCTCATTGACAGCAACAAAGGCCAATCATACGACCACTTTAAACTAGAGGGCGGTGCAAGGGGGTAATTTTGACAGGTGGGAGGAAACCGAGGGTTAGAACCTTGAGTTGGGCTGGGTGGATGGAGGCAAAGTGGGAGCGACAGCCGAGAGAGGCGGAGTGTTGCACTATCTTATGGTACGCGTCTTGTGTTTTATTGACTATGCAAAGGCATTTGATTGTGTGGATCATGACAAATTATGGATAACATTGAGAAGAATGGGAATCCCTGAGCACTTGAT